CTAACATGGTGTCCACTAGGAAGTCTATCAGATTTTATTGCACACTTGTGATCATAGGGCACAGTAGGAAAAAGCCTCAGTGCTTCACATATAGCTCCATGGAGATAAGCTAACTTACCAAACTCTTCAACACCAGAAGCAATCCAAGTTCCATCTTGGTTTATGCAATTTTCTTTGATCTCTTGAAGGATTTTAGCTTCCACATGTGGATGAGTTGAAACCAGCCAAAAGAACCAACTGAGACTTGCACTGATTGTGCCACTTCCAGCAGAGACAAAGGTAAATGCAGTGTCTCTAAGATACTTGTCATCCATTATTCTCCCCTTTTGATCTCCTTCTTCCATTAGCACTCCCAGCAAGTCATGATCAGTATCATCTACTTCTTTGGTGCTATTGCATCTATTTTTCTCTTCACGCTTGGCTGCAACGCATTCATACAAGAATTTATCAAAAATTTCTCTGGCCTCCTTGAACTTCTTCTCTTGTCCAATCTGGAGCCACTCCTGCAACTTCCACAAACATCTCGGTGTGATGTGCCTGTGAAATAATGACTCCTCGATCACAACTAAAGCTCTCTGATAAGTAGGTTGAGAAAGCTTAGTATTCTTGTTTGGAAGAGAGTGAGGATCATAACCAAGAAAACAAGAGCAGGCAATGTCGAATGTGAACCTCCGAAGGGCAAATTGTAAGTCTACCTCAGCTCCAACCTCGGATGTATCATCAAGAAATGGAACTAGGTCATTCTCTAGCTTCTTCTGAATGGCTTTTCGAAGGAAGATCTTAAGGCTTTGCCTTTGAAACAGTGAATGAAGTACTGACCTTTCTTTTTTCCATGCATGGAGATTATCAGAATTAATAATCCCACCTCCAAAAACGTCAAATATTTCACTGAAATTGGACCCTTTCCCGTAGTTGCTAAAGTTCTTGGTGGTGATGTGGTGCACGTTCGTGGGATCGGCTGTGAGAATAAAGTTCATGTTTGTGAACCAAGGTCCTTCGAACATCAGAGTTCCTCCATAATGTTTCAAAACAAAGATTGCGTAATCGTGAATGTTGGACAAATTTAGGAGAAGATAATGTAGCATACCAATGATTGGTAATTTTAAAACTGCAAAGGGTATATTTCTCTTGTGTCTCCTACTTATCTGGTAGAATATGAAGGAGAGAATAATGGGTAGAAATACTCCAATATACAACAACATTATCGTATATTGCAGGTCGAAGAAACTGTGTTTCAATTTGGGTGAGGACAGAGTTTGTGGTGATATTTATGATGCGATCTAATGGACAAGTAAACAAAGGTATAAAGAGCTTCACAAATTTATCAGTTGAGGGTTTTATCAAATGTCAAATCAGCTATTAAAGCATGATGGCTTGGGGAAGGAGAATTTGGTAGTGATCATAAGATATGAAATTTATGTTGAAAATGACACATGATATTATTATTTTTTATTTAATAGAAAAAATATATGATGAATGTTTGAATAGTAAACAATTAATATTGACTATTTAATGGCTAGAATGGTAATAATCGAAGTGAGCGAGAGAATTATCACCAATGGCAAGAGCATTT